TAGAAAACTAGATTATTGTTAGTTGTTACATATCCTTAGCAAACTCTCATCATCAGGGTTCCCCCCCCCCAAATGCACTAAGGCACATTGGTTACACAGAATAGTGGCTTTTGTTCCGGCATATTGGCACATGTATACAACATACCTGGGTTATTTTTGCTCATCTCCCAGTAACCCACCATCCTCCTGCCTCCTCCCCTTGTCCTCTAATCGTGTCCCTTCTGCTGTCCACCAGGTCTTCTTCATGAAGTAAGTGAACTTTTATAAGTGAACACACATGCACTGTATATGTATATTCTCATAATATTTCAGTTGCTTCATATATATAAAATATTCTTAGATAAAATCATTTTATTATTATATCTGATATTAACATAACACTGAAATTATATCTGTATTTTGTAAAAAGTATTGCAAATCTATCATTCGACATGGGAAAATTGTTCATTTAAATACTTGCATTTTAGATGAATTCCTCAAAAAATCTCCTCGAGGTGTATTTCATGATTGTCCATTGTGAAAAAGTAGCTAAAGAAACCCAGCTGAGATTGGTAGGTTAGGGAAGAGACTCTTTCTGTCAATGACAATGTCAAGAAGTTGAAACTGACTTATTTTAAATGGTATTAGTGTATAGCATCCATAATGGTTAGGATAAAAGTATTGAAAATATTTTAAGTGTGAGTTAATGTTTATAGAAAATGAAAAGTCTGATGCTTTTCCTTTGAGCTTTGGTTTCGTGAGTGTAGAATCAGGCAAGAGTGTGACTGAAAGGCATAGCTGGAGTCTACTTCGAGGTTTTTCTTTCCTGAGAAGATCAGCGTGTTTCTCAGGGGTTTTGCAGCTTTGCACCCCTCGTCATTCCTTACTGTAACTGACACTGTGATATTTGTAGTTTTATTTCCAGAAGGAAGCGCTGGTCATTTTAGGTGCATTGCCCAACGTTGAGGGCAGGTTTCACACAGTTGAAGGGCATCAGCATCTTTTCTTTTGGAATAGCTGGTTAGAATTGGCTGCTTAAATGAATTATAATCTAAATTGAAAATGAATGTTTTAGAGAAAATATTAACTTACTCAGGAATGAGGGCACGTTCATCACAGGTTCTGGGAGGTGGTTTTCTCCTTAGGTTTTGTGGCATTAATTAGCCTGTGGGAGGTGCGTGCTGTGCTCTTGAGCCTTCCCCTGTTGAAATAGCCGTCACACTCATCTTCTTGATGATTTTTTAAAAACGTTAATGTTTGTAGAAAATGATTGAAAATCAGGAATGATTTGAGCTTTGGCTTTGTGAAAGTGGAAATAGGCACAAAAATAACATACTTTAAGAATAAATCTAAAACTAGGTAGATGGAACTTTAGAGTCTCTCTCTCTCGCTCGCTCGCTCTTTCCCAGGACAGAAGGTAGTAGACATTTTCTTCTGAGAGGTCTCTTGGCTTCCAGTGTGGCCCTGTTCCTGACCTCCCCTTCCCAGTTCTCTGATGACCGCTTGGACATTGCATTGTGCAGCTTGCTGGGTGCGGTTCCTTCTGGCAGCTGCCTTGCACTCCCTGCTGCAGGTCTGTGCTTGCATGGTGTTATGGCTTGTGTCTACGTCCCTCCAGAGCCTCGTGCAGTCATGGGTTGGCTTCCAGAATTTGTGATTGATTCATGATCCAATGCTGGGAGCAGGGGTATGAGTGCTACGCCGCCCTGGGGCAGCTGCATCTGCATTATAGTGTGAGGAGGGGAGAGAGGCTCCTTGCTGCCTCAGCTGCCGCTTCTCCCTTTGCTTATCTTGCTTATTGTTGCTGCCATGCTACTGCCATGAACTGCTGCCCTCTGCCATGTGCCACTCTGCCTTGGAGCCAGCTGAGTGTGGATCAAAACCTCCACCAAAACTGAGCTACATAAACCTTTCCTTTCTTAATTTTGGGTGTTGGGTATTTGTCCCAGCGACGAGAGAATAGTAGCTGAGACACATGGGAAGCATACTTGTTGCCCCAGCCCCCTCATCCAGCTGTAGTTCCAGAGTTGCTGGGCTGATCTCTGCCTCATCCTGAGGCCTGAGCACCCGCTGCTGATGGTGGGGTGCAGCGTACTCTCCCAGGTCCTTTGCGTCTGAGACACAAGCAAGACCAAGAGTGCGCAGTGTGGCGCTCCAGGGAGTGACTGGGACTCCCATGCATAATGATTTGAAGAGCTAAACTGAAAACTTGATGAGAATTTTCACTCTCAGAAAATGAAGTACGCATGGCCCCTTCTTTGCAGTCCTCCTCTCAGAGTGTACTTGTAGTCAGTGTCAGCCACACCCAGGTGCTTCAGGGCTTTGTTCTGTGTTTGGAGCACATTTGTACAGACAGCTGTTGGATGGGAGCGCCACTGGCCTGCATGGAAGTGTGAGGTGGGGCCTGAGGCCCTTGCTGAACTGCCTCCGGCTCTCCATGCGGCTCTCCCCTCTGCTTCAGGTTTGCCCTGCACATGCCTCCTCTGCCTGGGACCCTTTCTCCATCTTCCCCCTCCCAGCGAGCTTTCTCTGCTTTAGGATACAATGATAGCATTTTCTAGGGATGGCTTCCCTCCTCTACCCACAGCAGGGTGAAAGTCCTGTCTGTACCTTCGTGTTGCTTTGCCCTATTCTTAAACCTGGCATCGAGTGCCACTGTGGGGGACTCCCAGGTGTACTGTGTTGTTTGCCCTGCGCTCTGGGGGGGGGGGCACTGGCCACTGTGTGCAGTTGCGTCTCTAGTAACCAGGGCAGTGAGCAGCCGGAAGTCACCTGTCGGTTGGTTGCGGCTGAGCACTGCTGGGTGCTATCCCCTTCCCCACACAGGGCCTCACGACCTCAGCAGTAGATGCTAGAAATGGTCTTACTGGAAAGGAAGATGAGACTGACAGAGCTAGAAAGCAGCAGGGCTGTCACTAGGATTCTTTCGCCCACATGCATCCAGGGCTTGTTGTGGGGGAAGAGAGCTTAATTTCCAGACCACAGAGAGCCTGCAGACAAGTCAGCTCAGAAGATGAGGAATCCCTGGTCACGCGTGCACCAGGAGAAGACAGCATGAGGAGAGGGGTGAATGGTTCTGGCTGGGGAGGTGCAGGACGAAAGGACCATGGAGGTCCTGAGGCTGCATGTGAGGAGGAGCAGGTAGGAGGGGCGAGGAGAGCACGTGGGCCCTGCCCACCCCTGGTGGGAGCACTTGGGGGCAGCCACAGTGTGGCTGGGGCAGAGGGCATGGAGGAGGGTGATGCTCATTTTAAAATATGGATGTAGAATTCATGAGCCCAAAACATCAGAGCCCACGAAAAGGGGCAGCTAGAGGAGGAGAGGGCAGGGAAGGTGGGGCCAGGTCCTTTGGTGCTAGGGAACGTGGCTCACCTGCCATGGTGCAGACAGTGTGGGGTATGTGTACTGGGGATTGAACTGGAGGATTTGCACTGAGCTCTCCCCAGATCTTCTATATTTTGTGCTGAAATAGTATCTCCCTAACTTGGTAAATTACCCAGGCTGAACTGGAACTTGGGGTCTTTCTGCCTCAGCCTCCTAGACCTTTGGAATTATAGGTATGTGCCACTGGGCTGGCTCTTACTGGGGTATCTTAAGCTTTCCACAAAGACATGAACATAGGGAATATTTCTCTGAGAAGAATGACAGTGCAGACCCCGTGGTGAATGGTGCTGAGCACTACGGACACCGCAGATGATGGCAGTGACAGGTGCGTTTGCCCTCAGGGTCAGAGCCCAGTGGGGTCACGGAGCCACTGCGGGCCTGCTCACCCAGTGGAAAGGGCAGCTGTTCCTCAGGGCAGCCAAGCCTGGCCCTGTGGGAATGTGGGCTCCACGTGCCAAAGCTGCCAGTGTTCGGAGAATCAGAAGTCTCAATTCTGTGTCAACTCCTTGGATTTTAAAATGTTGTTTCAAGCTTGAACAACCAGCATGACGGTGGACAGACAAAGTACACATGTGTGTTGCTGGCCTGAGCAGGATGAAAGCCCTGTGGTGTGGGGAGAGCAGGGTTCAGTGAAGTGGTGCTGCCTGCCAGCCGCTTCACTTTGTGCCCTGTGCACAGTCAGCACCGAGGCGTTGCCTAGTTGCATTGTTGGTGTGTTTATTCTTTATCATGACTTTTATTTAGTTGACTTGAAATACATATTAAAAGACAAATACTGTCTTACTCTGTCTTGAGTGATTGAATTGATGAGTGATAATTGCTGTGACTTGGCTACTGAGCTGTGTGCTTGCTTGCTTTTAGTCTGGAACATTCCCTCTACATGCCGCAGAAGTGAATGGCAGTCTAGTGCACATGTACGATGAAGCAAGCAAGGCATGGACAGGTGCTGTGCCGTTCCCTGTGCCTCCCTCATCTTCCGCTCCTGTTGCTCAGCTGCCCTCGCTCCCTCCCTGCTGAGCACTGCTGGCTGATGTCATGGCCACAGCACGAATGCCATCCTGGACCCCAGCAGGAGTGATGGGAAGCGGAGCTGTGCAGAGTGAGGCAGCGTTAGGGGCTTTTCGTCTGTGTTCATGCAACACAATGTGTCCATGGCAAGCTATTTCTTTTCTGGGTCAGAAAGCAGGGGATTTTCATTCAGTATGGCCTGACTCAGACAGTTTTGTATTTCAAGAATGTTTGATGTGTTGCAATCCACTGGTGATGGTCTTGGGGAATCTTATTTGGCGCAGGCATCGCTGGCAGCTCTGGCAGCAGGTGGGTTAGTTACTTGTTCATGTACTTTGGGTCCCTTGAAGACCGGGGACAGCGTGGAGAAGAGCAAAGGAATAATGAGATAGACTGGAATGTTTCTAATAGATTAAAGGGTTAGAAAAACACATCTTTTTCCCTAAGTTTTTTTTTTTTGCATTGTTTTAAAATAAGATCATGATTTGCATTGTTTTAAAATAAGATCATTTTGTTGTATCAACATGAAGCTAGAGACTTGAAAATAAGCCTTTTTTTCAGTGAAGAGTCTTATCTGTAAATACAAAGTTTTCATTAAATCAACATTTCTCTCTCAACTTTTGTTACAGATCATGGAGGAAACAAATACGCAGATTGCTTGGCCGTCCAAGCTAAAGATTGGAGCCAAATCCAAGAAAGGTAACTTGGCAGTTTTGATGGTCAGGGTCATGGACTGACTGTAGGTTTGCTGAGGGCAAAACCAATATTCTTAATAGTTTTGTCCCAAAGTATTTGTCACATATCAGTATTTTTGGAGACTTCTCAGAACTAAAAGTAATTTCCTGCTTTCTGACAAAATAAAACGTTTTAAGAATTGATGTTATGCCAGGGATGTTATTAATGAGAGACACGGGAGTAGCCTGTAGTCTCAAGTGCGTTTTGTCAACAGCCACGTGTCAGGTAGCCCCATGTGTGATGATGTGCCGTCAGCACCTACACGCCCACTGCTTGCGCTTTGAGTCCTTCTTCATGGATTACACAGATCACATCGCTTCTCCTTTTCCAGCGGTGTGATCATAGCTCCTTTAAGGACGAGCGCTTTTCTCGCCTGGCCTTTTCTTTGCCTCCCCTATAGGGCACTACTCAAACCAGCATGGGCAGCAATGGGCACAGAGCTTCCTGCACTGCCCACCCCCAACCCAAGGTTATATAGTCTTCAAAATTGACCTGCCAGTATATACTTTGACAGTTTTTTGTTGTTACTGTTTATAATATAATCTCAGTTTCAGCAATTTTTGTTGTATATATTTCATTAAATAGAATATAGGTATATCTTGTCCTCAGGAGATAATGACAAATGCCATCACGTGATATGGAATACAGTAAGTGTGCAAGCTGGTCGGTACCCCATACGATCTGGTGTTGTTATTTAGTTTTGTATTTATCCTTTATGTCAGTGGCTTTTTTTTTTTTGCTAAAGATACTAAACTGCACAATTTTTCCTTTCATATTTTAGCCTGAATTATTGTATTTTATTTTTGTTGTTTTGAAACAGGGTCTTGTTATATGGTCCAGGCTGGCCTTGAACTCACTGTATAACGCAGGCCAGCCTTGAACTCCCAGTGATCCTCCTTCCTTAGCTTCCCAAATTCTGGGATTACAGGCCTGACTTCTTTTAACCTCAGATTATTAGACTTGATAATCACATGGAATATAAATTATTGTGCAGGATTTTGGGGGTGAATGTTTTCAGCTGGCCTTGACTGCTGGGTATACCTAAGGAATGATTTTCTTACCCTCTTATTTATGATCACAGTGGCCAGCAATTGTAGTTTAAGTATTAAACAGTCATAAGATAATGTGAATACGTGCAATTATACATCTTTACATAAGCTTTGTACTTTCCGATTGCTATAGAATATATATTCTTAATTTTTGGAAATTTCTATAGTGTGTTGGATTTTTTAATGCTTACTATGCAGGATAAGAAACTGCTACTCGTGGGTGTCGACCTGTTCGTTTACAGCTGTTTAAAATCTCTGCTCTACTGCTTGAGTAAATTGAAACTTGAACATAAACTGAATCTTCTTTCCCAATTGTCAGGTATTTTTGCTTAAATGATGGAATGCGCTTCATGACTCACCTAATAAAAATGAAATGTAATCAGTCCCCAAAGTAAACTCCCAAGGAAATATGAATGTGAAAACGGTTCCAGATAATTTTGGATGGCTTATTCTCTTGCAGTGTCTATGTTACACCCATCCCCACTGTCACAAGGAATTCAGAGGTGATTAATATGCTGTCAGACTGTGGTCATAACTTCAGAGATTTTAGAAAACATGAAAATGAATAGAATAGTTTTTTCTTTTTAGATTGATCTCCCGTTAGTGACACACTTAACCTGTGCAGAGTGGCCATCAGTATTCTACAATTTGATTATACATTTTGCTTTGGAAATGAGAGTGTTTCAGCAGTGTACTTGACTGCGTTTGGGAGAATTTTCACAGGGTTAAAGTTAACCTTTGGAATTGTGCCTGAGAATCGATTCCTCCAGGCTTGGGCTACAGACTTCATTTCATTTTTTATTATTTATGAAGTGCTCTGAATGCACACAATGCTGCACAGTGAGGAGAAAGTGCCAGAAGAAAACGAGGAAGGGAGAAGAACCAACAGCTTTACTCCTAGGATCTTACTGCTCGAATTTGATTGCTCTGACTGTTTAAATCTTCAACTGGGGGGGGGGCTCGAAAAAAAAAAATAAATCTTCAACTGCTGAATCAGATGTTGGCTAACATTTCTGGGATGTGGTGTGTGTGTGTGTGTGTGTGTGTGTGTGTGTGTGTGTGTGTGCAGCTTTTAAGATGCATTAATTCAGAGATGAAGTTTGTTTGACTACGGTCTGTAGTTAGCAAAAGTACAATGGCAATGCCCCAAGGAGATGTAGGTGGGAACGTTATACTCTTCACGAGACCTGGCTGCTCTCCCCACCTGCATGCAGTTGAAGAAAATGATGTTGATCTTTCACCTTCTTTTCTCCCAGCTATTACCTAAGACACCAAAAACCACAAATTTAGGGACCCTTCACCAGTCTAAGAAGAAAGACACTGGTAAGCAATTTTAGAGCAAAGGGATCTTTGTAAAGAAACAGTTCAGAGAGTAAAATCATCAGGAAGCTCATTGCATACTCATATGACTGTCATCCCAAGTCACTTTTCTTTGTGCATATAGTTCTGTCAAGAAATCTATTTGGCAAAACAGCTGGTGCAAAATGCTGTTTGCATTTGTTGTATTATATTTTGCATAATTACTTAATTATAAATTCTATGGTAATGTGCAGATTTGGAATACATAGAGAATTCCCAGACCGTGTGCTGGTTGGTGAGACAGTGCCGCTGTGGGCTTGAGCTGTATTTGGCTTCACCAATGTATTGGTGAAGTATATGGGTCTAGGCCAACATCTCTCTTGCTTGCCACTGTGTACCTCTTCCTTTACCTCATTGGAATTTAGCCATATTTTTAAAAATTATTCATTTATTTATTTGGTACAGGGTCTTGCTGTGGGCTCAGATTCTTAGTGATCCTCCTGTCTCAGCCTCCCCGGCGCTGGGTTTGCAGACATGTGCCGCCATACCCAGTTTCAGTGGCCAGTGGGAAGGAACCCAGGCTTTGTGCTTGTCAACAGGCAGTTAGACTGCTGAGCTGTCTCCCCTACCCCAGGCCTATGTTTTTAAATTATAAAAACATAAGGAGCCCTGTCTAAACTTTTACTTTTTAAACCACTAATCCTGTATCAGGGAAAAAGCAACCATCAAATAGAAAAATGGAAATTTTTCTTTAGAGATTTAGTTTGGTATTTTGGGCTGGCGCTGAAGACCCATCGGCTCCGTGAGTTCCTCTAACTGCTGCCAGTAAGCTGAATTTGGAAAACCAAAACTTTACCCTCTAAAAAGAAAATGTGACTCTCTTCCTAAGAAGACTGTGAGTTCAGAAGGGCACAGATGGTGCCACCATTGAGAAAGAGGCGAGGTCCCCGCTGTCACCTCCGAGCAGGGTGCGTCATGGCATCCGGGGAGCTGCACTCTTATGGATTCATTCATTCCACATTTCTGTCACCATCACAGTTGGTTCACACAGCCCGCTGGAGTGATGAGCACCTCCTTCTGTGGCTGTGTTGCTGTCACTCTGAGCAGAAGGACATCTGATTTGTCTTTGCTGTCCTCCTTTCTCTTCATCGTCTCACCTCATTCTTCTTTCTCTGCATGCCTTTCTCTTCTTTTCCATTTCCCTTCCAACTTACTCTGCACAGGATATAGTGGAGGAAAAAGCAGGGACACTTTCAGGTCTGGGATCTTGAGAAACTTAGGAACAAACTTTTCCTTAAAAACATCCCTAGGTCATTTGAGATTATCAAAAGGCTGAATCCTCATTAAACCCAGAAAGAATTAAGATTTTGAAATTCAAACTAATGGGTATTTAAGTAGGTGACTCTAGAGCTGTTTTCATCTTGCTCACAGTTAAGAAAAATAAAGCATACTTAGTATTTTTTCTGTATAACATGGACTTATTTTGTGCCAAAGAAAGTAAAACTTGCAAACTCCTGGAGTCAAAGTTGAACTGTATGCTTCAGAATTTTGGAATTTGTTCCTGTGAAACTAGTACTGAAGGTTTGAGGTATCTGATACAGATATTCCTTCCTTCCTTACAACTGTTTAGATTTACAGCTTGCCACTTAGACCGCCCCCTGCCCATCTTTGGGGTACGGTACACTTTGTTTATACAGTACTGCAATTTTTCCTTACTGTGTTGCATAATACTGTACTTTTATGTTCTATTACATGTTACAATGCTGCATATAAGAGTTATGCAAGTAAAAGCAGAGTCGTCAAGTTGGAGTTTCTTTGTTTGTTCTAAATATTGTACTGTGTATACTGTGCTGAATTCTTCACTCAGTGACCAGCTCATTTAACAGTCTAGCCACAGGGATGGTGCTCACTTGGTAAGCGGGGAGTATCGCTATTATAAAACTACAAATGGAGACAGTCATCAAAATTTTGAATATGACATTCTCTTTCACAGCTAATTTTATTTTATTTTATTATTTATTATTTTTTTTTTTTTTTCTGGCGGAACCAGGGATTGAACTCAGACCCTTGCTCTTGCCAGGGAAGCGCTTATTCCACTGAGCAGCCATCTCCACAGCCCGCTCATAGCTAATTTTAAAGTAACTACAGCTTCCATAAAATACAGATAACATTTTGAACAAGTTGGCTGTTTTGCCAAATAGATTTCTTGATAGAACTATATGCACAAATAAATAGAAGTGACGTGATGATACTTTGTCACAGTGGTATGATTATGCCATGAGCTTCCTGATACTAAAAGACTTTATTTTCTTAACTGGTTTCTTACAAAGATCCCTCTGCCCTAAAATTGCTTGCCAGTGTCTTGCTTCTTAGGCTGCTGAAGGTAAAATGAGGTCAACATTAAAGTTGGTTTATTGCAGACTTCAAGAAATTGATAGAAACTACTACATGTGGTCCGTGAATACCAACTTGGGCTGTCCTGGCACCAGCAGGAGCAGAAGGCATCACCTGGGTGGCTGACTTGTCTCTGCTCGGGGGCAACCTGGCTGCAAGCTTGGCTGTGCTTTCCCCAAGCATGTGTGAGAGGATCCTCAGAATTTCATGAGCTGTTATTTG